GGTCTTTTGTGATTCCATATAAATTTTAGGATTATTTGTTCTAGTTCTATAAAATATGTCTTGGGCAATTTGATAGGGATTGTATTAAATCTGTAGGTTGCCTTGGGTGGTATGGCTATTTTAACAACATTGAGTCTTCCAATCCAAGAGAATGGGTATCTTTCCATTTCTTTAAGTTGTCTTTAATTTCCTTAATGTTTTGTAATTCTCCTTGTGTAAGTCTTTCCCCTCTTTGGTCATATTTATTCCTAAGAATTGTTTTAGATGTGATTTGTAAAGGATTGTTTCCTTACTTTCTTTCCCTGCTATTTCATTGTTAGTGTAAAGAAATGCAACTGATTTCTGTATGTTAATGTTGTATCCTGCTACCTTGCCAAATTCTTTTATCAGCTCTAGTTTTGTGTGGAGGTTTTAGGGTTTTCTATATATAGTATCATGTCATCTGCATATAGTGACAATTTCTCTCTTCTCTTCCAATTTGGATCCATTTTATTTCTTTTTCTTGCCTGATTGCTGTGGCTAGGACTTCCAAGACTGTTGAATAGAAATGGTGAGAGTGGACATCCTTGTCTTGTTCCAGGTTTCCATGGGAAGGCTTTCAGTTTTTCATCACTGAGTATTATGCTGGCTGTGGGTTTGTCATAAATAGCTTTTATTATGTTGAGATATGTTACCTTTATACCCACTTTGGTAAGAGTTTTTATCATAAATTGGTGTTGAATTTTATCAAATGCCTTTTCTGCATCCACTGAGATGATCATGTGATTTTTGTCCTTTATTCTGTTGATATGGTATCACACTGATTTACATAAGTTGAACCATCCTTGTGTCCCTGGGATGAATCCAACTTGATCATGGTATATGATCTTTTTTATGTGCTGTGGATTCTGTTTGATAATATTTTGTTGAGGATTTTTGCATCTATGTTTATCAATCATATGGGCCTGTAATTTTCTTTTCTGGTAGTGTCTTTATCTGGTTTTGGTATCAGGGTGATAGTGGCTTCATAGAATGAGTTTGGGAGTACTTCCTTCCTTTTCAGTCCTTTGGAAAAGTTTAGAAGGACTGGTATGAGTACTTTGTATGTTTGGTAGAATTTCCCAGTGAAGCCATCTGGTCGTGGACTTTTGTTTGTAGGGAGGGTTTTTTTAATTGCTGATTATGTTTCATTTCTAGT